CCCCAAGCCTTGCTGATGGGAAATACGTTGTCTGGTCAAAATGCACGCCTGCTCTTGGGCCTTCTCTACAATAAGGCAGTCCCCTTGGGGACGTCCTCTCGGTCCACTGGTCCTCTAGGCTCACCGCACTAATACCCTCTCTGGTACGGGCTCACCGCGCTGCTATCCCCTTTTCGGGGGACAACCGCAGCACCTTGCCCTTCTCCTGGGGTGCTGTGCCACTAACCCCTTCCGTCGGGGTCCACCGTGGCACCCTGCCCCCGTCCTGGGTTTCCCTACGGTGCAGGCCTATTACTGGGTTCGCCACGCCCGTTCTGGGCTTCTTAAATATTGCCCTGCTCAGGCTCCTCAATATTGCCCCCTCTCGGGCTCGTCAGTAATCGCCCCTCCTAGGGCTGGGGTCTATGCACCCCGCAAGTGACACCCTTGCTGGTGTCCGCCGGGCCCGTCCTGGGCTCCCCAATGTGGTGCTCCCCGTCTTTGGGGCTCACCGTGCCCACCTTGGGCTTCTCAATAGGCCAATATGGCGCTCCCCCTCTTTGGGGCTCGCCGTGCCCGCCTTGGGCTTCTCAATGCTGCCCCACTCTGGGGCTGGGGTCTACGTACCCCGCATACAACCTGGGGTCTATATTCCCCGCCCACAACCCACTGGTTGTGCTCACGCCCTCTTAGCGTTAGGGCATCCCACACTCTCTGGGGTCCCTATACGGATAATGCGCCCACTGGGCGCTGGACTGCACCCTCACTGGCACTGCGCCCTTGCTGGCGCTGGGGCCCCACCCCTCTGGGGTCCCTATGAGGTTCAGCTGCTCCTCGTAACTGACCCCACAACTCTGCCCTGCAACTCTCAGGGCCTAGTGCGCCCTCACTGGCACCAGGGGCCCCACTTTACCATGAGCCCCCCCTATGAGGCCTCCTCCAACCCCTACAGCCTCACCCAAACCTCCGGTGTAATAGTAACAAAGCCTGAACAGAAACTCAAGCCTCCTGGCTATAACTCAAACATAACGCTCTCTGGCTGTAACAACTTAACTCCAAGCCATCAGGCTAAACCATGGTGCTCAAACCTCTCAGAGCTGCCATCCTTCTCTCAGCTAGAACGATTCCTCTGATTCCCACGCTCTAGCTCTAGCTCTAGCTGCTGGCAGAGAACTGCCAGCCTGGCCTCAGCCCTGGGCTTTATAAGGGCCAGGCCCTGCCCCGTACAGGCAGCTGGCTCCCCTTAGTTGCTCCGGCAACCCGCAGCTGCGCTTGTTACCTCGGCAGCCCTCAGCTGGGCTCGTTATGCCATGCCAGGGCTCTGCCTCTCTCTCCCTGGCAGTTTCTCCTCTCTAGGAGCAGAGCACCTCGGTGCTCTGCGACAGTATTATTTCATTCTTGCTTTTATATTGTTTTTATTTTGGATTTTAAACCACATTTCCAGGCCCATTTCATTGTCACTTCCTGCAACTTCATTGGTGTCAAAGGTCACTGACATCACTTCCTGATGCGATACCACTTCCTGTGAGGTCTTTGAATATGGCTCACCGGCCCACTGGGTGATAAAAAGTTCATGATCTGGCCCCACATTCGGAAAGGTTGGACATCCCTGTTGTAGACACTTTGATCCCCCGTCTTGTTCATAGTCTTTTTTGTAGGCAACTGAAAGCTGAGGCAGCTGACTTTAAGCATGCTGAAAGTTCTTAATTAATGCTGGTGTCATTGGTAATTGTGCTACCTAGGTGGCAAAAGGACTTGACATCATTTAATTGGTTGCCATTCAATTTTATTGCTGGTGGTGATGGAGGTGATAGGTTTCTACCACAAGGTTGTTGGTACAGGACTTCAGTTTTCTTTACATTAATACAGAAGCCTAAAAGGGATGCATCATGAGCAAAGAAATTCAGTAAATGTTACAGGTCATTCTCAGAAAGAGTGACAAACGCTGAGTCGTTGGCATACAGTAGATCCTTTACTTCACTTTGTTGGGATTTGCTTTTAGCTTTGAATCGGTGGAGGTTTAGAAGTCTGCCATCAAATCATGTTGTTAGGATGACACTGGTAGTGGTAGTACATGAGGTGGCTTCTAACACTCCAGCCAAGATCAGAGTAAATAATGTAGGGGCAAGCACACAGCCCTGTTTAACCACATGGGCTACAGCAAAGACATCAGATGATTTCGGCACCCACTGACACATGGACCTGCATGTTGTCATGGAAGCAGCGCATGAGGTTAATTATTTTGTCTGGGCAGCTGAACTTTGCAAGAAGGCAAAGCATCTAACAGAGATGCCAGAGAGCTGAGCATCTAACAGAGTCGAATGCCTTACTACAATAAAAGATATTATTATACTATAAAATATTTTATATGATGAAATACACAGCATAAACTACAATGCACGATCTTACATATATAAAATAAATGTTAAATATGTATCTATTTTAAAATGCAAGCACTCATTTACATCTAAACAAACACAGGCATTTTTTCAAATTGCTCTAAAATATATAAAAATTTTGATTTTTGAAGTTAAAACTACAGAAGTTAAAACAGTTACTGCTATCTTTAGTAGACGTATGATGAAATGGGTATAATTAAGAATTGTGGTCTTAAACAAGGGTTCAAATTTCAAGAATGCTAGATATTCTTTTCCCATAACACAATCTTTTTTGAAGTCTCATTCTTCTCTGGGGCTAAGGACCAGACTCAGGCTGCAAATTAGGCACTTCTGCACAGTTAGGAAACAGAACACTTTGTCCTTCTGAGACAAATGACTCACTTGGCATCTATCTAGTGGTGGTGAACTTCCTGGTTGTATAGTAACGTAGGCTAGGTACAGACAGCCAAAAAGCCCGAGGCTGAATCGATTCAATCTTTGCAGGTTAGTCTAAGCCACAAAGATTAAATTGAAACAGAAGTGAACAAACATTGACCTTTGATTCAGGAAATACAGCCACATGCCAGCAGTGGCTCAGGCTAGAAGCCAGGGGGGCACTAGAACACAGCTCTCTGGCTGTATGTTCACTTCTTCTTCCTGCTGCCCCCAAGGTTTCTGGGATTTGAAGTCCAGACTTACAACAACAGGACTCTGCAGGGTTGCTCATCACTTCTTCTTCCTGCTTCCAGGTGCCTCTGGGATTTGTAGTCCACAGTTGCAGCCAGCAGTAAGTTTGAGTGGGAGAAGGGGTGTTTAAACCGTCTCCCCCCGCCCTTGTTAGCCAGCCCTCACTGCTCCAGCTAGGGAGCAGAGCAGCCAGGCCAGCCTTGCTCTCTGGAGCAGACAGCCCAGCCCAGCCCAGGGCTGCAAAATGCTGGGATGCTGGAGAACTCTGATTTAACTTGAACCAGGAAGGGGTCTGAGACAGAAGTTTCATTAACTGGTTTGACCCAGATCAGTTAAGTCTGATATTACATTCAACCAGGTTTATTTTAACTCAGTTTCAGCTATTTTGAAACTGGTTTATGTGCACTGATCTTCTGTTCTGGTACAGGTTTAAACCAGTTTCTGATCACTTAAACCAGTTTGTGTGTAACTTCTGTCCCTAGCCCTAGTGGTTACAGCACTCAGTCAGAGCGTGGGAGACCTGTACTCAAGGTTTGCCTCTATTTCAGGATACAAATCCACATTTCCCTCAAGCATGCCCTTACTAACAGCCTATTGAATAGTTCGGAGGTAAGGGAGACTCTTTATCCTTCCTGTTGAGAAAGCTGGGCCACTATGCAACCAAGAATGTGGAAATAATGGGACCAGAAAGACAGCAACCAAAATGACCTTGTGGCCCAGGAGCTGAGGGGATGAGTGAAAGGGGGAGAGCCTGGATTCTGTTTACCCTGTTTCCAGGGTAATTTCTGTTCCTAACAGATGACTGTTTAATATAAAATGCATAAGCAGCCTTGGCAGTAAGGACCAGAACTTAGAACTTCCCTCTCTCAGGGCAGTGTCCTCATCCTGGGGGTCTTATTCCCTCTTTCTTGCTTCCTGCTTGCATGATACATGGAATGAGGTCTTTGCTTTCTGAGAAATGGACTGTAAACAAATATGAGCAGAATAAAACAGCACCACTGGGAATTATTTAGATTTTAGAGTTATCTCATATGCACTGTGCACTTCCGTACCAGGCCCTGTTAGGGGAGAGGTGCATTTTCAGAGCTGGGGATTAGCAGCGGAGCTCCATTAATGTCTATATGAGATTTTCGTTGTGGTCTTTAGATTTCTTCTGGAAGAGATTTTGGCCTGGGAATGTTGTTGAGAAATGTGTACTCAGTCCCCTGGGGAGAAGGGAAAGTTTCTGAAAGACTCAAAAGACTGTTGGCCAGGATGGGAGGTGTCAAAGATAAGGATGCGAGGCATATGCTAAGGGCTTCTCTTTAGTGTTTCAGTGAGGTGTGCAGATGTTACTGTTCATGTTCTGTAGATTTTTTTTGGACTTATCAAGATTTGCTTTCCGAATTTCTTATTTTACATTATCTACATTAACTTTCAGGATACACTTACTGGATTTGAATTTCTTCGTGAAGTGAACTGACTTCAATGCACAATATGTATCTCGACAATACGTGTAACATAAGCCAAACTTCTTTCGCCATTAAGTTCAAACCAGAATTTTCCTCCGGTGTTCTGATATTATTGGGTGTTCTCATGGCATTGTTAGCCCTCATTACAGTTCTTGGAAATGCTTTGGTCATCCTGGCTTTTGTTGTGGACAAGAATCTGAGATATCGGAGTAATTATTTCTTTCTAAATCTTGCTATTTCTGATGTTGCAGTGGGTAAGTTTTTTTTATTTCAAGGAATGTAATATGCCCTTTTGAGGGTATCTTTAAGCAATAATATTAATTTTGCTAAGCAGTTTTTCTAAGAATACAGTTTCCCACACATGCACATGGACCTAAGCACAGAATACTGTAATGTGTTGGCGCCATTAAGTACTTTAGCAGCCTATTCATTCTCAGAAATGCATCATAAATAAATAATCTTTTGTCAGATATCTATGTAGAAGATGTTTGATGAAGAAGAAAATTGCTACTCTTGTTTGTAAATGCGTACAATATCATTGCAACAGGGCTGTTATTGTTATATTGTTCTTTCTGATTAGCTACTATGTACCTGTAAAACTGTTCACCACATAGTGTCTGAATGAGCACAGTCTACATTAGCCAACAGATTTTTTTATATACTATTGATATGTTTAGCTTTCCTCTATTATATTGAAATATAGAAATTATTGGGTATATTTTGAAAAAAAGGATAAACTACATATGTTATTGAAGAGGCCCAATGACTAAAGGTAGGCAATACTTTTAAATATTCTAATAATTGTGACTGTATCTGGGTATGTACTTTTAAAGCCATATGTGGTTAACAGATTTTAAATTACCATTAAAATATAATTTAATAACACAGCACATTAGCATATACATATAATAGGCTAACACATTGCTTTTAAAATTGTTTCGAAATAAACCTAAATTAATATTGATTTCCGATGCACAAAATTATTAAGCTACATAGGTAAACAACAATGACAGTTATTTTTGGTGGAAATATGATCGATATTTAACACCACAGAATGCTGGGTTTAAATTAAGTTTTATATTTCAAGAATGTTAGGTACTTTTTCCAAAACAAAACTGTATTTCTAGTAACCAAGTGTAACAGTAACACTATCCCTTTTGATTTGCTTTAACCTAAATATGAGATCAGACATTCATATCTAAATAATCATGGTGTCTAGTGCTATTCAGGAGCAAGACCTAAGCCTTTAGTGAGACCCAAGAACGTGCAATGTCATACTGCCATCATATAATGAAACTGATAAGTGAAAGACTGAATTAGTCTTTGCAGCTCATGTCAAAGATTGTTAAAAATGGGTACAGAACGAAATGGCACAATTGAGGATTATTTAAATGACAAATGTATCTCACACATAATATGTCCTCCAAGTATTGTTTGGGAAAAGGATATTTTTATTGGTGTGGTGGAGCTGCAGATTTCCAATTAAAGTCTGTAAATTTTTATTTCTGGTTGCAGAATTCTGCTTTTGTTCAGCTTTTGGGCTGGGAATGTTGCTTAGAAATGTGTACTTGATATACTGGGAATAGGACAAGTTTCTCACTGTCTAAGAGCAAAACTGCTAGCCATAGCCAAAGTAGCAGTTTTGGCTATGGGGCAAAATTCAAAGGCAAAGATGGGAGCAAGTTAAGTGCTCCAACAAAAATATGTTGTTCTTCTCTATTATACTGAGACATGATAAACACATAGACCTGCTGTTGGTACTGAGCCAAGTTCTCAAAAGATCAGTTCAGATGCTAATGTATGGATTTAGTATTACAAATAGGAAAAATGTATACGCTCTGCATCAGTGTCAAAGTGTATTGCTAACATTATCTACACTGAAAACATCATGACACTCATTTTATAAATGTAAATTATACTGCAAATTAGTTGAAATAGTCTGTGTACGAATTATGGAAGCATTGTGTGGACACACTTAGAAAGCTCTGAAGACAGAAAGTTTGTGTGTGTTGCTGAGTAACCCTTCCTGTTTCTAATGGTATTACCTTGTTCTTGGTTAGCAGCAGCCCATGCTATTCAAGACAGCTGATTTAATTCGCTAGGTGGTGTTAGTGTGCTACCATACTGCTGAAATGAGGCTCTCCAGCAGATATTGTAGCAGAAGCTTCGTTTTGAAAGGAAACGCCACTTTAAATAGAAGTCTTTATTAGTGCTGATGAAAGGGATCTGCACATACATTGAAGTACTGTTGTGGGTCTGGAGGAAAAGGGAGAGTCTGAAATTAAAAGATAGGGTGTTTTTTTTTTAATAGATCTGTGTAAATTATTTGATTTGCAACAATGCTGAGCACCATCCAGCTCCCATGAAGACCTATACATTTGTAGGTGATTCTTCTATGGGTCAGTGGATTTCTGGTATGTACTTGACTGCTCAGCTCTTTTGCAAATCAGACCACTAATGGATTTAGCACTTTAACTAATACATTTTGGAGACTTAGGACCATGCTTCCAACCTTTTCTTAAGCAGGACTCCATTTATGACCCCATTTCTTCAGCATGGCCTCTCTCTTCCAACTCACAGCCTCCCACCACCTCAAGCACCCCTCACTCCCCACCACAGCCCCCTGCCAGTGCCCCAGTGCTGGATTATGACATGCTGAGACCCTAAACTATGTCCAGTTTAAGAGACCCCATATGATAAAAATAATGCATGAAATCCACGACAATGGATTTTCATGACATTTTAAGATTATTATTTCTGCACAAATTTATGAACTCAATATGAATAACAGTGGAGCCATATATATGTATATTTTTGTTATATTAGAACAAAAATGTCCAGTTTTTTTCTTATTTAGAGGCCCCCATATTGTGAGGCCCTACTCTACAGTTTAAGTAGTTTAAGCCTAAATCTGACACTGCAATGCCCCTCACTCTCCTCACTCTCCCCCCCTGCCAGACCTGCATGTGCCCCTCACTTGCAACCTGTAGCCCCCTGCCCCCTCCAGCCCTGCCAGAGGGGGCCCCCAGTTGCCACAGTTATGGGACCAGGGCCAGGGCCCACAGCCCCCTGCCCCACCAGCCCAGCAGTACTTGAGCCCTGGCTGGTGCTTACAGGTGGTGGCAGATGCTGCAGTTGGAGTGGAGCGCAGAGGCCAGTTCCTCCCCCCATCCCTGCAGGTGGCACAGCTGCAGCAGAGTCCATTGGTGGGGGAGGATGCAGGCTGCCCACTACTGGTTTGGGGCTCCCTGCCCTTCTGCCCTCTCCCCAGGGCCTCCATGGCAGAGTGAAGTGGCGAGGCTTAGTGCTGCTGCTGGAGGCCTGATGCTGGCTGTGCTGCCATAGTGAGGTGACCCCTGCCCACCTGACAGCAGTGTCAGCAGAGGTACAAAGTTGCTGCTGCTGTTGGTGGGCAAGGGTCACTTTCCCATAGCAGTGTGGCCAGTGTGGGGCTCCCAGCAGCAGTACCAAGCCTCCCCACTCTGCTCTGCTACAGAGGCCCTGGGGGTGGGGGAAGGAGGAGAGGAAAGGGAGCAGGACAGGGAGCCCCAAGCCCACAGCAGGCAACCCGAATCCACCCCCACCCCATGCACAAATCTGGGAACCATATGCCATCCCATGCTTTCCTCCCTGGGAGTGCGTGACCACCTATGGGACTGTGACCCTGAACTTGGGAACAACTGGCTTAGGAGTTTAGCATGGCCATCATATATTGGAAAGTGTCATTAAGTCCTTCTGGCGAATCTTGGCTTGCAGCTGGCAGAACACCACTTCCACAGGTAAGTACTGTCCTTTTCCCAGAGAAATCTAGAATAATTATTTCATGGAATGAAGAGCAGCAGAACATCCTACTGTGATACATCTACACTATTTCAAACGGTACCTGATGTCTAAGGTTCCTTTTTTCATCAAAGTCTATTTCAATTTTTTAAAGCCCAGCCTTCAGTCCTCCAAGTTGTGGCTGGTCGCCTCCTGCCTGATCCTGGGATATTCACAGGAAGTAAAGCCAAAGAAAGTGTTCAGGCTGAAACATTTGCTGTCCAGAAATCTACATCCCAAACTGAGTAGCATTTCCAGTTCCAGATGCGGTAATATAGCTCTGGGCTGCCACAAGGCACTCATTTTTTACCCTGATGGACAGTCTTTGGTTCTTGAACCAATCAGAAAATTACAATTCCCCTCAGATCAACTTGCTTCTTCCTACTGTACATTTGAATCCCTTATAGTTCTGAAATCTTTTCAGACATCAATATGAAGTATTAAAAAAATGACCATGCTGTCATGAACCCCACAATATTTTGAGAGGGTCTTCATGCATAAGATGGCATGCATATTTCCTTGAGTTTGTTTTACTGATACGGCATCTGTGTTGTCAATGGATAACAGGTGGTGTTAAGCTGCATTTGGCCATATATTTGGTATGTTTATAAGCATTGTGGTTGATATAAAATATTTCTTATATGTTGTTACAGGACCAGGATTGCATAATACGATAAGAATTGTCAGGTGTCTGCCTTTAAATAATTTTAAATACAATTATCATTTTAGGGATGCCAGAGGAAACCTCTCCAACCATTCTGTTCAACAGTGGTTAATGGACCTATCATCCATGACTTTGTCTATTCCATTTTTGAACCTGGCTAATGGAATAGTCTTAGGTACTACATATTCTTTTTGAGAGGCCAAAAACATGGTGATAGAACTACACGTTTGGTGAATTATATTCATTTAAAGTCAAATGACAAAGTCATTTGTCACATTCTATTAGCTGTTTATGGATTGATGTTTTAATATGGTGGCAAAAAACTACTCCCCATTTTTAGCTGTGACACATATCTGGCAAATGCTAATAATAATTATTATAATGTGCCCATGAACAGATGAGCAGTGTATAAAAACTGCTGAGATCTAGTGGAAAGAAATCCATTTGCTAATTTCATGAGACACAAGAACTTCAAGATGTTTGTATCTGTCTGACCTTAGCTTTTCTTTTTTGTCACAAAAAGTGTTCTGTATCCACATTAGCTCCATCAACTCTGAGCATAATCACTCAATTGTATATTTATTATTTCTCTCCATAGGTGCATTCTCTATCCCTGTGTATATCCCATACATCCTAACAGGAACATGGCATTTAGGAAAAGTCTTCTGTAAACTCTGGCTTATTGTAGATTCTCTCATGTGCTCGGCTTCATCGTTTAATATTGTTCTTATCAGCTATGATCGGTTCCTATCGGTCAGCAACGCTGTAAGTAGAACATTCATAATTGTACTTTTATGCCCATTGAAGACTGCATATAATTGCAACTACGTAGAGTATAATAATATAGATTACATTGTTATGGGGCGCATCTACATATTCTATTAATGCAATTGAATAAACTCTGGCACAGTTTGCACTGGAGTTTATTGCTCCCAGGCATCCCTCCATAGCATGTTGAGCCAGGTCAGAGAAGCCCCAGCTCACAGGGAGCCTGTGGGCCTAGCCTGCCAGCCCAGAGCTGCTCCAACCCAGCTCAGCATGTTGTGGAGGGGCTGGTTGGGGCATGAAGATACTCCAGTGCAGGGCTAGCCAGCAGGCAGTCACAGCATTGAAGCACCCTTGTGCCCCAGCCAGCCCCATCAATGTCTAGACATGCGTTGTGATGGAGTAAATAACTTGGCCGTAGGATAGTACTTGTGTTAACAAGTTCTGACCTACGGCAGAGTTAAATAGTTTACCCCATCCACTACACGTATAGAGGTGAAGACTTTACTCAGCAGAGCTACTTAGTAGGGACCTACCAAATTTGGGGCAGCTACCAGTCAGTTTTTTGGGCAGAATGTTGGGCCCAGACACCATTTTGTGGGCAGAGTGCAGAGTTTCCCTCCCCCACCTTTGATTGGCTGAGGGGCACAGTGGCCCTGCCTCTTATCATTGACTGGCTGTGAGAGCTTCCTGTCATGCAGCCCCACCCTTCTCTGCCAATTGGTGGAGAGGAGCAGGGCCACTTGACAGGTAGCCCTTGCAGCCAATCAGCAGCGAGAGGGGAGGAGCTGCAGCCATCTTGCCGGCGGCCATTTGAGTGGGCATACTGCTCTCCCCACCTTTTCCCACCTCAGCAGGCTGCTGCAGTACCTTGAATTGAATTTTAATTTAATTGGCATTTCATTTTCAGTAAGTTTTTTTTCCCCCTGTAGATTTCACAGATTTTATGGGTATTGTCCACTTTTGTGGGCAATGTCAGATTTTGTGTAATCCGTTAAATCTGCATAATTGTAGTTTTGTTGTGTCCCTACTAATTAGTGAGCTCTGTAGTAAACACCTCATGTAGATGCACCCTAGTAGTTTTCCTCCATAGATTTAAAATGATTGGTTTTGTCAGTGTTAGAAAATTCCACTGAATGTTTCCTTGAGGAAATTTACTAGTTCCCTGTTTTTTTGGAAAGGGGAACTGAAATTTGGCAGGTGGTTGCTTTGGTGTCAGGAATAATCCTTTTGTGTACGTTTGTGAAAAACAGTCCACATTTGGCCAGAAATAAGTCTCTGGAAATCTTTATTTGCATTTGCTTAATAGAGACTTCTTAGAATTTGATAGCTAATATTCTCCCCACATTCCATCAGCAGTGAGCATTCTCCAGCCCAGGAAGGTCTTCCCCTAGCTGCTAATTCTGGCTGCTGTGGGCCAGAGGCAGCAGAACTGAGATCAGCCTGAATCCCTAGCCTGTGCCATCTGTGATCCTCCTGTAGCTGCTGCTGTGGTAGTTGGGGAAATGCAGTCTGCCTAGAATATGGAGAGTGAAAAATTGTAAAGCGGGAGTCTGGGAGAAGGGACTATGGTTGGGTTTTGAAGGGGAGACTGGGACTGGGATGAGGAGCTGAAAGCAGATTGAATGGGAAGATGGCATGCTATGCAAGAAGCTAACTGGTACTATGAAACAAATATTAGTCTTAGGTTCTCAGAGTTGTTTTAGGAAGTATTTTTACTTTTTTCCAAAAGGATCTCTCAGTGTGTGACATGTGGTCTTTTCATTTTGCTTCTAGGTGTATTACAGAAGTCATCAGACAATGACTTCAAAGGCTGTTGTTTTACTGGTAGCAATCTGGGTTTTTGCATTTTTACTTGATGGCCCAGCAATAATCATTTGGGAATATGTGGTTGCCTGCAGCAGTATGCGTGATGGAGAGTGTTATCCTGAATTCATCTCCAACTGGTATATTTCCATGTGCATTTCAGCCTTGGGGTCATTTATACCTTTATTCTTTGTAGCTTATTTCAACCTGCGTATCTTCCAGACCATACAAAAGCACAAGAGAAACAGCTCTGTACAGTTGTCAAATTCTCCAAAGGGCAAGAGACAGCCATGGAGACTTTGCACTTTGTTGAAAAAAAGAATGCCTTCTCCTGATTTAGAAACAAAGGACAGTGTTTCTGCATCCTCAGGAATACAGAATCAGTCACTGGCACTTGACAGTTCAAATCTATCTCAAATCCATTCAATAATCTCTGAAAATGATGACTTGGGTTCTTATAGAAAAAAGACTCAGTCCAAACCACAGAGACATAAAAACATTGCAAAACCACTTTCCATAATTGTTTGTATCTTTACTATTTGTTGGGCACCATATTCATTCCTTACACTTATTCGTGTAGCCTGCAGTGGAACATGTGTGTCTGACTCTTTGCATGAAGCTACATTTTGGCTTTTGTGGATCAATTCATCTGTGAACCCTTTTCTCTACTCTCTCTATCATGTTAAGTTTCGAAGGGCTTTCATCAAAATGTTATGCCCCCAAAAGCTTGTGGGACTAAGTCAATCATCCTCTTCTTAGGATACCAGTACAGGCAGTCCTCAACTTACAACGTTTCGAGTTACAACGTTTCACACTTACAACGTTTATAAATTGACACCCTGTTTCAACTTTACAACATCAGTTTCGACTTACAACACTTGATCTGATGCAATGCCATGCCAGCAAACAAGTTCGCTGCATTGCTCATCTCCCTGGAGAACATCTGTCCAAACTTCCTTGGACACTTTCTTTAAGGAAGCAGCCAAGACTCCTGAGAAGACTCCAGCCAAGAGCCCTTCAAAAAGTCCAGCAAAGTCACCTCAAAGAAGTCCTTCCAAATCAATATGATTGCTATTTACAATATAAATATATTAATGTACCTATCCATTGCTGTATTCCAGTTAGGAGTACAATGCTCTAAAGCCTTTTACCTGAAGCCTTTAAATATCAGTGTGTGATAGGGGCCTCTGCATCAGCCTACCCACCCGCCTTGGGCAGTCCGCCTGCCTATTTTTCCTGCCATGCCTTGTTAGTAAATAATTATGTTGTTTATTAGGTGGGAGGCTGCCCTTCGTGTGCCCAGCTATACTGGGTGGTACATACACACTCCAACCTTCCCTACATGTGTCCCATGCCTCAGAGGTGCTTCTGCCATTGTCAACTCTATACGCCCCTGGTGTCCATGTGTCCCATGGCTTAGAGGTGTTACTACCATTGTCAACTCTATACGCCCCTGGCGTTGAGCCCTCTGGCTCCTGTCTCTCTGCAACCCACAGGCACTGAGTTCTATAGTGATTGGCTTTCTGTTGTTGCTGTAGAAATTCAGGTCTGTGTCTGAGAGAGAGAGATCATGGTACCCAGCCTGAATCTCTAAGTAGGTCACAATGTGAATTGCAGTTGACCTTGCCTCTGTTAAGATGATGTCAGCTACCTGAAAGTAGTGTTGTGTGAACATTTTAGTATTGAGCGCAGAACTAGAGAGTGCCGTGCGCACATTCTGTTTAAAAGGGTATGTGTGGGTGGAGCTTGGAGGGGGTGGGGTGGGGTGGAAATGCTTGAGGCACGTGTGTGGGACCGCTTGGTGTGGGTTTGATGTATGCATGACTGAGAGTGTGGTGGAGATTAACTGATGGTGTCCAATTGAGAGATAGAGAGAGAGTGTGAGGGTGACTGGAGTCAGCATGGGTCTGAGTGCCTAAGTTGGTTGAAGGTGAAGAGCAGGAAGGAGTGTGTGGTGCTCTGTGGAAATGTGCCATCTAACACTCTGGTGACTTGAGGGTCTCCAGCATCTTGCTCCCCTTCAGCCAACTCCACAGCAGAGGCAATTAGGGTTGGCTTCCCAAAACCTCTCTCTCTCCAGGTGTTTTTTACACTTGTAGCAGCCCTTTGCCCCATTATTGTAAGCATCACCCTGCTCTGCCTCCCTCCTCTCCATCTGTTCTGTATTAGTATAAGTGACTTCTGTTTAAAAGATGGAAAGTGGAATGCTATATTTGGATAGATATAGATAGAATAGTATAGTTAGGTGTAAAGGGTATGATTGATAAGAGTTTGTGAGTACTGTGTTTAGTGTCAATATTACTTACCTGTTGTTTGCTATTTGTGTATTTAATAAACAGTTATCAATTTGTTTAATTGATTATTCATGTGTGGGTTCTAATTAAATCAACTCGCAGACTGATTGCCAGGTGGGCTGGTGATGACAGATACCTCATGTCCCATTTATTAACGGGTCCAGGGCCAAAAGACTACCCCTATTGCAAGTCGGACTGAGGAGTCAGCCACTTATTGAGCAACCTTAATTGGGCATTAATTTTTTTCCCCTCACAACACTGTGCCTTTCCCTCAGCTGCCTGACTCTGTGCCTCTCTCCTGGTTGCCAAGTTCTGCCCCCGCTCTGGTGCTATGGCTGCTGTGCCTGACACTGGGCTCTATAAAATCATATGCCCTCTCCCCTCCAGGCACTAATGAGGCCTCCAAACTTCCCCTTCTAGCCTTGTCCCAATGCACCAGGGCAAACATGAACACGAACACAAGCCCCTAGGCTAGGGGTGGGCAATTATTTTGGGCAGAGGGCCACTTACTGAGTTTTGGCAAGCCATCGGGGGCTGCATGACAGGAAGCCATGGGCAGATAAATATTCATTTTCTAAATTTTTTAGGGGCCCTGCAGGCTGGATAGAATGGCCTGGCGGGCCGCATCTGGCTCCCGGGCCGCATTTTGCCTGCCCCTGCCCTAGGCTATAACTTAAATACTAACAAGAACTGTGCTATACCCCTTTAAGGGAACAAACTTCCAATCAGAGTAACATGCCCCTATTCTAGGTACCTGGGGAGACTCCCTGTATGTAGCACCTAGATAGCAGAGCAGGCACTGGTATGGAGAGCTAGGCAGCTAGCACCAGGTCTGAAGTAGCTTCAGCAGACAGGAGCTCCTTCTCTGTCAGCTGCCAGAGAGAGAGTGTCTGCTAGCTACAGCCTGGGCTTATATATCCCAGAACCCTGCCTCCTGCCCGTCAAGTGATGTCAGCAGGTGTGCCCCATTCCTCCCTTAGGCTGTTACTCCGGCAACCTGCAGCTGGGTAGCTCTGCAAAGCCTGCCGAGCTCTTCTTAGCCTGCTGAGCTCCCTGGCCATGCTTTTGCAGCCTTAAGGAGCAGGCACATCTTAGCGCCCTACTACACAGAGTAAAAGCAAAGATACTAATATTTGCAGGAAATATCTAATGTATGGCTGATAATAAAACATAAATGTTCACTTTAACCTTGTGTGTTCTTTAATTGACATTGTTATCACAAAAACTAATGCTTATTTCTTAGAAGATAATTTCTTAAATTCAGTATGTATGCAAAAGGATTACTCTCCTGCACAAAGAAAATTTTTTACTTTGGTCTGAAGAGGAAATGGGACCTGCGTATTCTGTAAACATTACTTTGCAAAAACTATGATGATGGATTTAAGAGCTCAACCTGTTTAACTTATCAAGAAGATTCAGAAGTAAGTTGATTATGCTACATTTGTACCTTAAGAGAAAAAAAACCTGGGTACTAGAAATAGCTTTAACTTAGGTTGAGAACCCTTACTCTATTGCTAGTTTGACTTGAGACAGTCTTTGATAGACTCAAGGTACCACTTGGAAAATGTCAATTCTTTGTTTTCATTCCTTTTGGCTAGGTACAGATGTTACACATATTGTGCATTAAGCAGGCAGAAAGTGCTGTAAAGCCATAACTGAACAGCACAATATTGATTCTCACCTTTGCTTGTTGGGGAACCTTAAAAGAAGGGAGGAGGGTGGCACATAGATTGGCAGCAGGTCTTCTTGAATTTTCTGAGTTCTCCAAATTTCCTATACCCCATATTTATAGATGGCTGATTCTAATATTCCTATACATGACTTCTGATTGGTTTTATTTAAATTTCTTTGTTTCATTGAAACTTTTGGAACTGAACTGACTCTTGTAGACCTGGAAGGTGTCAGTTGGGATATATATCCTTAGGACAGTCAAAGGCAGAGTTTCTTATCTCCTTCCCTTCCCCATTGTGGAATGCTGTTCAACACTGTCCTGTTTCTTCTTTACCTTAGTTTATTATCTTCTCTGACAAGACTGTTTTGTTGTTACAAATTTTCTAAGCATCTTAAGAAAAATATATCTATTGCAACAAAATAACATCTAATACATTTCGTTACATCAATCACTACTACTAATATTTTAAGATAAAGCTATGATATAGTGTTTTTGAATTATTTAATGTATGGTCTTCTCTTATAATTTCTCCTTTCACGCCTTGTGTTTTGTTTAATTGTATCTCACTATTGGGTTAATTAGATATCTTCATGCCTTCCTTTACTTTGCTGACCAAGCTAGTTGTCACATATGCAAAGGTTCATGCTACGGTCCTCAGAAACAGGCTTTGGGGCCTTCTGCTTCGCTGTGATTCTGCAGCTTGACCTAGGACCCTTGAAAACGGACAAGGCTGGCAACATCTGCCGTCTAGAATGTGCTCATGTTGTGTTTTCTTAGACTGTCCAATACACAAAAAGTTATTAGTGGATTTTACACTTGGTGGCTATCTTCTGCCCTGCTCACTGCAGCTTCATGTACATTAAACATCACAGTTACTACTTCAATAGAAAATATAGTTGACTGCCTGAAGCAATTCATATATCACTATAAGATTGTTGGGCAAGTTTCACTACATTAGGGTGTTTCAGACTGGTCCTTTTCCTGTGATGATGTTGGGAGCATTTGCCTGCAATGCCCCAAGCATTGGTTTGGGTGGAGTGACAATCCCCCTGCTATTTGGATAACTAGCTTATCTACTCATCCCTTGATATATGATGTTTTATATTGAGTATCTGAATGCCAGCAAGGAACTGTTCAAATACTACCTTAGTAGCTGCTGCATAACTGTGGAATGAGCTTTTGGACATTGCAAGGTACAGCCGGGGAGACTAGGGCATGCACTTGCACGCTACTGACTGTAACCTGTCCTGAATTCTGCCTGTATTCCAAATAATAACACAAGTCTGGGGCAAGGCTGTGGAGGAATTACATGTGGTGGAGTACAGAGACTTATGAATCAGTAGAAGATACCCCTGAAATACCCCTTTTAAGAACAATTGTCAAGATGTTCTCCTAAGAAAAGTATTGGAAAATTTATTTCCTTTGTTTTTGGGGACTTTCCAGAAAGAGGGAGTAAAATTTCTTCAAAATACCTGGACAGTATATATTTTTTTGTAATAAACTTGTCTTTATTTTACAGTAAATCCAAACATACATTGTAGTGACAATTAAATTTAATGTGTCACTTTGGACTCTGGAGGCTTTTTTCAACCGTATGCATTTGAGGCTGCAGCAAAGGTGAACTGAACACTTTCTGGGTAGTTGGTTCCAATGCTTAAGCATCCTCATAGTGAGAAAGTTCTTCCTAATATCCCACCTAAATTTCCCTTGCTTTAATTTAAGACCATTGCTCCTTGTCCTATCACTTGGAAGAAAGGCTGTCTATATCCTCTTTATAACCATCTTTCAGGTAT